TTGTCTAGACAAAATGCTTCCAACTGTAGGTGGGAGGGACGAGGATATGGAAACCACCATCAGAAAGGCAAAACAGACCTTGATGTCTGTGAAATCAGTTTGGGAATCTTCTGCACTCGTGCAGAATATGGATTGAAATTCGGATTTCTGACACTAATGTTAATTCATTCTTTCTGTGTGGGTGAAAATCCGGGCCAGAGTGTCACGAAAATCCTTTCAAACCATCTACTTCACACTATTATCAACGACTGCCTTCTCTGGATATTGAAGAACAGATGGCCAGACAGAAAGTATTAGAAATTTCGAAGCTCTGTCAGGCAATCAACCAGTGAAGAACCTATTGCGCGGTAAATTTACTGGAGAAAATGTGGATTGGTTGGATACTCGCTGAGGTGACATCGCGCACCAGGACATCACTCGACTAGAACCGGGATGGGAAACAATAAGTAAGGCATTGGAGGGGGACGTGGTGATCGTGTAACGAGGAGGTGACAGTTTATGTTCGGGCGATGGTATGACAAACTCAAGTGAACTGTTGAGAACAGGACATATTAGACGTGTGTTGTTGAAACCCTATGTCCTACGTGGAACGCAAGAGAATAATACGAATTCAGAGTACTTATCGGAGAAGATCATTCTTATTCCCCTTCATCATCAAATAAGTAAAATGTTGAAAGCAGTCTGGAACTGACACTATTAAAAGGCAATAAATTTGGATTTAAATGATAAATCTGAATGTTATTTTTTTCGTTTCCAAAAGAGAATGTCAATCTTTGACTGAGTTCCAAGCAATCGGATATCAGTTACTGTAGCTTTTTCCACAGACAGATGCATATTGCATAAGCAAAATTAAAAGAGGAAATTGTTATCTGCGGAAAACATTACTTCCTTTGTCAGTAAAATCATGGAGTCGCCTAAAAGTGACTCCTACTTTAGACATCAAGAAACAATATGGACACACACACAATCCCACACGATAACACAAACAGTGAGTCTGATTGAATTCAGCGTTGTATTTTTTGAAAAAAACTACACTGCATAATTCTGTACGTATATACATATTTTTATTAATCCCCGTGAAAATAAAGTGGTATTAGGTAAGCAATAATAAATCCTCAGTGGTACTGATCCTCAGTTTCTCAACCAAATCAGCAGTCACATCCGCCAGTCAAGGATAAATTACCAATGACGGCCTCATCAGCGTTCATCTATTAATTAAACTGCTACTGTTGAACTAGTTACATAGGTGGCACTCAGAGGGCTTGATCCATGTGCGCACCTGAACATTTACCTGTATGGTTGAGTAAAGGGGAAGTGTTTAAATGTGTAAATAGCGCAGTCTTAGTTCAATTCGTAGATACTAGGCATTCAATAAGACCAGAGCAGGCATCGTTGATCGAATAAAGTGTTGCTGACAATCTATGTATCTTCTGTCAGTAGCCGCAGCAGTAACAATCGATACCAGGAGACCTGGTTTCTGCATACAGAGGGAGTATCCCCAACCGATTTGTTTACCTTAGTCAACAATAATGTCAACAAATACTGCACAAACACTGGCACTTTAAACCCTATCTCATTTTGTTTCTTTTGTTTTCTTTTCTCTCACTGACAAACGCTTCTTTAAGACCTCTTACGACTTCATGACATTTCTTATTATGCCTATTACCCCAGGGTTTGTGTTACGCTTCCCAAACTTGTTATAACAATTACACGATCCTGTTCACTACACTTCAGTAAATTTTTTATTACCTGACAATCATTCACTAATGGTACCTTTAAATTTACACCTTGACCATAGTTATTATTTCATCATTGTAATTTGTCACCTCTGAACTTACGTCTAGTCTACTCTCCCTTACTTATTGATTTACTTTTTCTGTAGTATTCACATTTTCTTTCATGCTATTGACTACACTCATCCTTAAAATGTGTATTTTGTTGACTATATGTATACACAATTCACTGAATTGCTTCATCTCATTTTATCTCAAGTACATATTTTAAATGATAAGCAAAACTAAATGACTATTACTCCATCTTGTACTTGTTCCGCAATACACTTTCTGATTTAAATTCTAATTTGCCTTCACTGGCTATTATATGCTAAAATTAGTAGGGTTTATAATTAATTACATAGCCTGAAGAAGAATTTATCCGAAACAACTTTTTGCTTTAATTCTCCTTGTTCTGATGAATAAATCTTCAGTGTAAGACAACCCTTGAGTATAGAATATGTGTTTTGTTTCTAGCTTATTGCATCATGCATGATTATCAGGTGTAAATGTGGCAAATAAGTTCAGTAGTGTATTTCCAGGAATATTTTTTTTCAATTGGCATGCATAACTAAGCTTGTTCAGATTATTTGCTGACAAATTCTAACAAGCATGAAACTTGAAGCAGCAAGCCATCTAAGACCAACTGAGATTCACTTAAACAGTCTTTTGGCTCTGACAACGTTCACATTGAAAAGTTCAGCAATAATCTTCTGGTGTTGATCAAAACGAGTAATTGTTGTAATGAATACTACTGAGAGGTGAGAGGATCTAAGTATGTTTCACACTATTATAAAATTTGTAGTGTCAATGGTCTAAAACTACTTTTGTTTAATCGTTAACAAATACATAATTTTGCTATACTGCGTGATTTCATGATTGTGATTTACGATATAAAGTAGATGATATTATTGTGACTACAAATTTCAAAATGAAACTACAATGAACCTACTTCTTGAAATATGCAGTTTCCATGTATTACTAATATATCCGCGTGACTAACTAAAATCAAACTGTTTTCAGGTGATTCCGCTATCTGGACTCGGCCTTAGCATGAATGCCAACCACCTGACCCACCTGATGATAATAACATTTCAATCTCGCTTGTAAGTTATTGTTATTATTATTCCCTTGAGTTCCCAGTGGAACATAGGGCTTCAACGGAACATTTCTCAATTTTGTCCTGTTCTCTGAAGTCCTCTTCAACTCTCTCCACGATGGCTCACATGCTCTCATCTCTTCATCACACGATCTCATCAGTGTCACCCTCGAAGTCTCAACTCATTTCCCATGATTTGCAAATACTATCGTTCAACAAGACCGACTTCCGAATACTGACAGCGATCTGCTGTATACACACCATTTTCCTGAAGAATTGATGCCATCATAAGATTAAGTTAATCACATCATCTCAGCTTGCCTACCTAGAGTATTTTGTGTGCTTGAAATGAGCTTTAGTCTTTTTAGATCTGCAACTCGTTACTCCTTGCAGTTAATCAAGAATTTAAGAAATATTAGTTGGTATTTTGCCAGTGTCAATCCATCTCTTCCGGAATAGGACTCATGTAAACATTCTCAGTTTATATACATATATATGTGCATATAAAGAGAGATGGAGAGACTGTAGTAAAAAGAAGTGGCGTGTTGTTTATGCTACGAGTGTTAATCTTATTAACGCGTAGGAGTAAACGATACGTGGGCTGCTTAGCTAAAGGGTATCGTAAACATGTCTAGTTTCATTCAAATAAATCTGTCGTCCAGTTCCGATACCTTTAATAGTGTCTGTTGAGATAAACAGAAGTTAAGAATACGAAGTATGTTTCTCGACCATCTGAGGTGAGTTGTTGGCAATCTGGCAACCTAAATAAATTACGTCTTTTCATTGAAAATTTAGAGGGAACTTCTACAATCCTCATATTATTACTTCACGATAAACGAGAATTACGCATGAGTTTTTCCAAGGCACCATCACTTCAACTAAATGAAAAAACAGTTTATGGTAGATGGCCAATCCAATGCGCTCCCCATGTGAACACTTTTGATTGGTGGCGAGAGAGATCGTGAGTCACACTAAGTGGTCGGTGCTACATTTAATTCTTAGTTTAGTGAAATGGTGAATACGTCTAACCACTTGACTTCCTGTTATCATACTCTTTTTCGAATAAGAAAATTGTTAAATCGGTGAACAGAAAACCACCGTATCTTTACTCGGATTGTTTAGAAGGCTGAATTTTGTCACCTTTTTCGTCTGATAGAAACTCGTTACCTGTGCTCCCTAATTCACCTAGAAACTGATTCTGAAGGAGGTAATCCTTTTAACGGCAAAATGAATAGGAAAAAACCGTGATAAGGAAATATACAGACAGGATTTAGCAGAGGATGATGGTTAATATTATATGGTTTAACACTGTCAGTAGGAAGTTGATAACCTAGATCGAATTATTGGCGGTGTTTTGAGAAATAAACCACTGCTGCCTAACGCTACTGTCGGAGATATTGGGGGTAAATTTACGCATGAATGGATCACCTCTTGCTAGATTTAAACTAACTTGAAGACGTAGCGTTCAACGAATGCCTTTAGAACTAAACCATTACACTTGACTGGTAAAAATATAGGTCAATTCTTTTATAGTAATTTTGTCTTGCAGATAAGTCACAAAGCTCACTGATACGTTATTTGAAAGAACAAATTTATTCTACAAATTTTCCTTGTAATAACGTTAAATGTTATTTGCTTTTGTATGAGTTAATACTATGTACCAATCTAAATGCCAGGTATATTAGATACTACACCAATTATAAAGTGCGTCGGTGGCACAGTGGTTAGGACTCTCGCCGACCATGCACATGGTCCGGGGTTCGATCCCCTGCCGGCGCACACCCGATATCTATGGTCGGCCTGAATTTGGGCTACCGATATCCATGCTGAAAATTCCACACTTGTACTGAAAATACGGTGTGGAATCAAGCTGTAAATCAAAATAAAATAAATAAAAATAAAGATTTTGTCATAATTTAAAGAAATACAGTACAACAACGCTTCCCTTCTGACAGTTTTTGAAATGTTCAACTTGAACTCTTAGGTTACAAAGCCCAGTTCATCAGGCTTTGATGGCTACGCTACTCAAGAGTTATTACACACTCTAGCCTCTTTAGTGCTACTATAACTGATGATTGTTTGTAATGAGAAAGAAAGTGGATAGGAAACTTTTTCAAAATCTAACTTACCTTAAAATAGCGATTTGTTTTCTCATGATAAAACATTGTTATCGACTTGGTTCCAAGACGCCAAAAGTGTCGTCGTAACTGAAAAGAGAAAGACGAGCAACTACAGGATCATGGATTGGAAATGAAATGTTTGGAGTCACTGATTTAAAGAAAATTAAGTGTCACATACAATTTCGAATGCTTGATACAATTCCTCTCCAGAGGATCTCCTCTGTGTTACGCTCGGACTTACGCCCATCTCATTGCTTGCTATTCAAGCTCCAAAGGAAGGCTTGCCTGGCATCTCGTACTATTCAGTGATCTCCTCAGCCTATGTCGAATCCATCTCCAACCCCTGCTGCAGGTTAATTGAGCAACAGGAATGACTGTTGGTAGGTTCACTGTCTCCCAGAGTTCCTTGTTGCTCATCCTTTTCCGTCATCCAACTGGCTATCTGATCTTCAGTATTTCCAGCTGATGAAGCCGCTGCACCTTTCACAAGTTATTATTATTATTTTAACTACCTTTAAGTGCTGGATTTTTTTTCTTTCTACTTTTATCTTATATCCAGTCTAGTGTGATATCTATGCTTCTGGATAGTAGTTCTATTGATCTTAACTAGATATTATTTAAAAAAGATCAATATCGTCAATAACCAGTGCTCTTTGAATGTTATGTATATATAACTGTTTGAGCTGTTAAAGAAAAAGTTATCGAAAAGTATATTCCTTTGCTCAATATTCCTTTTGTTTTCTAGAGTTGTATTCTAGCACCTTTTATGCAACTTCGTGATAGTCAATACTTTTTTTGCAGTGTAGAAGAAGAAGAAGAAGAATAAGGATGGAGGCTTGAACACAATTAGTTCCCCCATTTTAAGGGAAAAATTAAACTAAACAGGTGAAAAATGGTTTATTTTTTATTCTTAGAAATGAATGGTCTACTTCTGTCGTTGTTATCATTGCACTTATTCTAGTAATTAACTCACTTACTACTTTATCTGTCTGCTTTAATAAAATTGTTTGTTCGTCTCACTTAAACAATTCATTCTATTCATCACAAGTGATCGCGAGAATGGAAGAGGATAAAGGAGAAAAAGTATACTTGGGGGAAGGATTCAGTCAAGTAGGCTGAACGAATCAATAATAGGATGAAATCTATGCCCTAACAGTTTACTTTCTCGATTATTTTGTTCAACTTCGTTTCTCTCTGCACTTACATTTACTTTTTTTAGAATTATTTTTTGTTATTCAAGAAAAAAGGAGTAACTCGAGTTAGTCTTGTTCACTTATTTTCTTTTGCTTTCTGTTCATTCGTTTTCTGATTACCTTTTTCTTCCCCCTGTCCCCCATCCCTAACTTTCCCCTTAATGAATACTTCTGTTTTACGCTTGAACTGATATCTAAGCACTCTTGATTATTTTTGCAATAAAGAATCAGACATGAATTCATTATGATTATCAGATGTGTTTGTAACTGTTTGTTACCTTATTTTACGTGCTAATAACTTGGTCTTGGAAAAAGTATGTTCTGGATGACTGGCTTCTGCTTCAAATTAAATATATATGCATATAAATGCACAAGGTTTTTATTCAAACACAATATGTCCTATTGAATGAATTCCGCTATGCTCAATCATTACTTTCCTTCTTTTCATTGTCAGTACAACCTATGTTCCCAGCACGTCTTCACTTTAGACAGGAATGTAATTGCATTTTTAGCCGCCTCAGCCACTGCCAACAAACTTGCATTTCTCACGCACATGATCCCCTTCATGTCACCCTCTGACATTCAACTCATCGCTTTCTGTTTGGGTTTCACCCGGAGGGTCTGGTACGCGTTGTCGCCCAACGGTCTTCACAGTGTATGTGCCCAATCCATAGCCATTTTCTCGGGTATATTCATTGCAAAATAAATTACTGATTGGTTTAGTACCTGCCAGAGTTCCCTGTAACTCAGGCTTTCTGGTTGGCCACCTGGTCTTCGGTATCCAGAGAAGGCGACTGTTGATAATAATGTGCAGAAGCCTGTTTGAAATGCTTTTCGTGACCCTCGCCCCAAGTCTATCGCCCCTATAGAAGAACTGGTTTGACATTATTGTTGAGAATCTGAATTTTGTCTTTCAAGGTGAATGAGAAAGATTTCCGAAATGATTTTAGAGTGATGAATACATGTCTTGGCTTTTCTATCCTAGCTGGCATTGATATTATCATCACCGTCATCCATGCAGCCTGTAGTTGAAATAACGCTGCCTAGATAAGTGAAGGAATTGACTACCTGCAAATATCTCCCGTCAATAGTGCTTGTATTTTGTTTTTATTGGTCGTTAGGCGTCTGTGTCATCTCTGTCTTCTGTGTGTTCACTTGAAGTCCTGTCTTCGATGCATGCCTCTTCTCACAACTTGTTGATCTCCATCTGTAAGTCTTCGAGTTTGAGTGACACCAGACACAAATCGTCCGCGAAGTCGAGATCTTATAGAGTATTCATGTCGCTCCGACGTATTCCAGTCTTTTCGCTACCAACTGCGTGGCCCATGATCCATTCCACCATATTCAGTTAGATCTTAGTTGATAGTAGGCAGCCAACTTGACTTACTCCTGTCTCCGATTCAAAGGCTTCGCTGAGCTTTCCACTATGTATCACTTGAAATTATTTCCCTTTAGTTTTTGAATGAGTTTTATAAATGGGTTTGTGTCACTAATGAGTGTAACTAGGCACACGTTTGCTAGTCACATTCTCACAACAATAGATTTTCAGTGAAATAATTGATTTGATATCATAGCAAAGTGAAGAAGATTGATGAGGCAGAAGTAATACCTATCAGAATAAATGTGTTTTCAATATAAACCTCACATAATTTGGAAATATTGTGTAACACCGGTGGTTCACTGGTGGAATACTCTTCAATCACATGGGAGGCTAGAATTTGATTCTCCGCTGATGAACTCCTCAACCTCGCCCATATTACTAGTCGAAACCCTATGTTCCACGTAAGAAATGAAAAAAAACACAAATAATAAAATTGTCTTCATTTGTTATTCCTTATTGGATTCCTTTCACTCTTGTCACTCTCCAAGCCTCTCTTTTAATGGCTTGTCCCCTAACAAATTATTACTGCTTCTTCGAACACGTTAATCAATATACTACTTATGTTTTTTTCTTTCCTTCACGTTCCCCAGTGGAACATAGGGCTTCAAGCTATTGTCTTGAAGTTTCTGTAGCAGTGTTTATTTTTACAGGATGGGGTTGCTAGCCTCATGCCCAACCTTTCCTCTTCACCAGCATTATTACTGGCTTAGTGAGGGAAAGGAGTGCGTTGACCGGGGATCGAACCCCGTACCAAGTGCATGGTCGGCGAGCGTCCTAACCGCTATGCCACCGACGCACACTGCTTATGTTTGTATGAGTGCTATTTGAGCACATCACAGCGGGCAGAATAATCGTGGTTTTTACTATAACCTGGCTACTTCATACACGTGTTACTCACTATCAACTGTAGCTCACTTAAAGGGATGTCTTTGCTAGACTTACACTATAATAGCAGAAACAAGACGGATAATCAACCGTAAAGTCTCAAAGTAGTAGTAGTAGTCTAGTCAATGCAATGCATATCAGCAGTCTTGCTATGAGTTGGACACTGTCAAAGTTGACGTAATTTCAACTGCATACTTCAAGCTTATCTCCATGGCCCACACTCAGTAACACTCAATCAACATTTAAATAATATTGAATATTTTATTATTTAACCACTTAAAAGCCTGTCGCAGCTGTTGAGTCAGTAGTACTTCAGTCTCCCAACACAGTCGTTTTTGTCTAGACAGGTGTTGTTACCAAAAAATTTCTGTTGTTTGTTTCTCCATTTAAAAAAACCAAACAATTAGATGATTGTGATTTTTAGCTGTTTCGGATATTTCATTATTTTTAGTGACGAATTGACAGCAGCTAAATAATCACTAAAAAACCAGAAAGCACTTGATAACACTTTCATTGAAGTCTGGGACTATTCAACAGTGCACACCCATGACCAGACCATGAATCGAAGTCAAGTTCTTCAGGTTACACGGAAAGCACCCTTACTATCTAAAATGTTAGCAACTAAACAGATAGAACTAAATTATTGTGAATAATTTTTGAGTTCGCGTTCGATTCCCATCCGAAGCATTCTTAAACCGCCTGATAAGTAGTTAGCTTGGAGTAGAAGGAAGCTTGGACGGGAGACTAGTAACTTACCCCGTGAAAACAACACCAGAGCTACTGAAGCTTCAAAGCTTGAAGCCTTAAGTTCCAGTCGGAATGAAAGGGAATAAAAACAATTTAATTTCCAGCTTAATAATGCACAGCCTCAGGATTGGAGCAAAGAAAAATCTCAACTCAACTCTTATACTTATTTGTTCTGCATGTTTTTCCATAAAAATGTCAAATCACCCACAGTGTTATTTACTTGCGTCGAATTAAATGCCTTTAATTATTTCTTTCTAGTAGATGAGTATCGTTCACCTGTGAAACAAATGCCTAACTATTAATTATAATATCTTTGTGGGAAAGTATTTCCTTTCATAGTTGTTATTTACTTCTCTACGCATATTAAACTGATTGTTTGTTAGGCTCTGTAATTAGAAAGGGATTTGTTCAATCAACAAATCTGTTGAAGTCAAAGAAGACTTTGAATGTATTTGTTAGGCTTAGCAAAACAAAACTAGTAATTAAAATACATAACAGTTATTGGATCTATCTATGGCATAAGGAGATGGATTGGTAATTATCACGCTTAAGATAGAGAAGTTTTTCTTTAGAATATCGGAGGTGAAAATTAGACAAATTGTTAAGTAAAGCTAGAATTACATTTATTGCCCAAAGGACTGAAGGATTGTCAATTCACATGGGCTTTTTTGCTTCAAAGTTAGGTTTGTACACTGACCTGAAGACCATGGGTTCTGTTCTCAGTGGAACCATGAGTGCTCACTGATGAATAATCTCAAACTAGGACGGAACAGCTGTTCACTACTCCCTGGTTTTCAATGGTTCTTTAACTGATATCAATCTGTGAACAACGTGAAATGTTGAACCCACTTAAACACTAATGCCCATTTATGTAGGGTGACAGCAAGGAGTAATAAGTACATAATATTATTATAATTTGTGAACTGAGCGTCTTTCAAGTCCGTTGTGTATAGACATTGGGCTACCTACTTAGAGAGCTACTGATGTCAAGATGTAATATCTAAAAAGTTCATACTGATAACTTTCTTTTCTTCTTTTCTTTTCCTTCACGTTCCCCAGCGGAACATAGGGCTTCAAGCTATAGGCTTGAAGTTTCTGTAGCCTTGTTTATTACACACGGTGGGATTGCTAGCCTCATGCCCAACCTTTCCTCTTTACCAGCTTTATTCCTGGCTCAGAGAGGTAAACGAGTGCGTCGGCCGGGGATCGAACCCCGGACCATGTGCATGGTCAGCGAGCGTCCTAACCGCTATACTTTCAAACTTGGTTTATTCAACTGCACTATTTCTTCCTCTTAGATTTTTACACTGGACATAGAAATTTAGCTAAGTGTAGAATGACTCACAGCACGCAGATGAAGCAACTCAGCAATCACAATTTCTGCACTGGCACTCAATAACAAAATAGGATGAGTCAGAGCTACAGTCCTTAAAACAAATATAGAGAGGGAAAGACTGACCACTGAATCCTCGTTCATCTAATTTACACCTGACACGCGCAATACGAATGACTCCATGCCAATACCAGGGCTCTGGAATATATCATTAGCAATAAATTCACAGGATAAGAGATAATGTAATTATATAGACAAAGTTTAGAAGGTATTTGAGTGCCTTGAAATGACTATTAGTAATACGCCATACTCGAAGTGTCATCATTGAATAAATTATACTGTATCACTGTATGTTTTATCAAGAAAAATCCTATGATGAAATTATACTCTCCCACACACTGCCCAAATTCTATTCTTGTATGAATTATCTGCTCTATTAATTTGATGTGTCAAGTTACACCTGAAGACTTATCCGAAGTTTTAAGCTCTGCTTAATTTTAGGCGGTTGGAAAGATTTTTCTTTTCAGTTGATTCATTCCAACTATGATTTAAATAAAAACGCATTCTGATTTGACACTAGTAACTAGTGTGATGCGTCTAGTCCTCTCTTTGGTGCAGACTGAATTCTATCAGTCAGGGTTTGCAATGTGACCACCATTCTAGGTAGCTCGCCATCACGGTGTACATTGTTTGTGATGATATCAGATGGTTGGAGGCAATCGGCCGGAAGCCTTGGACCCAGGTTTTGTGCTAGTTGGCACTCGTCAGCAAGGTGTATCTGCAACCTTCAAGGAACTCATATCCCTTCTGAGATTCGAACCCGCGTCACCCAGTGCTGCAGTCAGAAACGTTACTACTGAGCTATTCGGGCTCGCGATTGACCTCCTGTAGGACTGTAGTGGATATTCTGATTTGACGCTAGTAACTAGTGTGATGCGTCTAGTCCTCTCTTTGGTGCAGTCTGACAGACGCGGGTTTGAATCTCAGAAGGGATATGAGTTCCTTGAAGGTTGCAGATACGCCTTGCTGACGAGTGCCAACTAGCACGAAACCTAGGTCCAAAGCTTCCGGCCGATTGCCTCCAACCATCTCATATCATCACAAATAAAGACGTGTTCTGTGTCCACAGTATTTTCTTCTGAGAACTTAGACGTACAAACACAAATATACTGAAAGTGCTTAATTATTCTGTTTGTTATATAAACTATGGGTATTGTGCATTGATAGATATAATGACTTACTCGCAATGGCTTTATTATCTTGTATTAATAAAGTTTCACCTTAACGGATTATGGATATATGCTTGAGGTTGTAGGGAAATTCGATCCAGTGTTCTCTGAGTTGTTTGTATGAGGTCTTGTTCACTCACTCACTGTTTGGAATGATCTGTCATATATATATATATATATATATATATATATATCTTCCTGACTTCTTGGAGAAGCCTGTTGATCCATGATAAGCAATATTTTATTTTTAATACCTAACTATGAGCGTAAAGTCCACGAAAGTGCTGTATGAGTTGTTTTTTAGTCTCTAGTCCACAAGTATGACTGACAGAATACAACCTGGCTATGGCTGGTGTTCTCCCTCCACCCACCGACCAGCTAAAAGACTATATAGAGTCTACAATTTGGATAAAAGGAGATACGTTTCTTTTTAGCTTCACTGTTACATATGACAATTTGTTTTTTTTTCCACTTGAGTATTCCTATGTATTATAATTTTTAATTTTTATTTCCAAGAAGTAACAACAAATAGGAGGAAAATTCATTTCATTCTCTACGTGACTACTGGCCATAAAAAAGTCATACATTTATAACGGCTTTAGTTTACTCCCAGTGGTTACACTCTAATATATACTACTGAATGGTTGGAATCAGTAGTTAAATACCACCAACATTAACCAGTAGTGCTTGGTAGCCAGATCGAAGTGAACTGAACACCAAACGTCTACCAAGCGCTACTGGTTGATGTGGGTATTATCAGACTACTGAAATAAGCCTATCAGTAGTAAATGTCACCATGTATTTATGATAGTTTTCTTGATTATCATTTATATTGTGAAGGAGATCACATATTGTGATCTGAATAATTTCCGTTTCACCTAGTGAATTAATATGCAAACTCTGAATTCGATTAGATTTAATTTTATTTTTGTTGGCTTCCGCAGATCTTGCTCATTCAGCAATACACTATGACTTAAAACAAAGATCTTTGACTTCTCGCTGTCAATCGAGAAATCGATAACTCCATCGTGATTTTGCTTCGGCTTAACCCGATATGGTAATGTGAAGCACCTCATTGTTTTAAAAAAACATAATATTGATATTAAGAAAGAAAGAAATTTTAAAATATTTTTCATATTTGAGGGATTCGTGAACTTACAACAGGATCTTTATTAGTCCTATGAACCATCCAAGTTTCTCTGATGATTAATCCAGTTCCAGATCGTTTCGTATGACGAACTGACTGAACCACACGCATCAATGGGATATTTCTTTGTCCAGTGCTTTAATATACAGAAGTAAAAGAAATGACAATGATGAGTGACAATGTAGACTGAAATTTGACTCTGTTTCTTGAGAGAAGTCTAACCAATATCATCAATTTGTCAATTTACGAAAAAGAAGTACTCTGAAATCTGCTGACTGCTGTCGGTTAATTAATATGTGCAAACCAGTGGGGTGCCATTCTTGTTTAGGAAACCAGACTCATATCAGGGGAGCACAAGAGAATGACTTATTTTTACTGTTTAATACTATCCCCGTAGGTTCCGAGTGGGACATGGGGATTCAAGAGAATATATTAACTTTCGTTCTGTTCCCTACGATACACTTTAGCTCGCTCTACTGCAGCCCGAAACTTTCATTTTGTCCTCACAGTGTTTCCTCTCTGTCACGGTTTGACGTTCCACTCACCGTCTCCTAGAACCAGGTTCCACTTGAAGGCCTGACGCTTGATGTTACTGAACGGTCTTCTTAGACTGTGTTCGATTCATCTCAATTTCACTCATCATGCGTGTTGAGCAACAGGGTCTTGGTTAGTTCGTTCCCAGAGTTCTTTGCTGCTAGTGCTGAATTCGTGCGTAAGTAAGCGCTTTGCTTTTCAAATGACTTATCAAGACCGCGGTGCTACCAAATTATATGATTCACCTAATAGCTAGTGTTCAACCTTTACTTCGTACTACTTATCGCCATGAAATGTAGTGTATTTGTAGACCTGAGGAAACAGTTCTCCATTTTATGGCTCGAATTTGATTCACTGGCTAAACTATTCAAAGTATGTATCCTTCAGCTGTGCACACATGAAAGCTAATGCAAGTTGTCCACTGAAAGTCGATTTCTAATACCTAATACGACAGAATTAATTCGAAGGAGGTAAATTCCTCCACTTATCTACGCAGAATTGCTTCAACCACAGGAAAAACGCATGAGAATATCAAAGCCAGGATTGGTTTCAGAATCTTCCGCACGCCACAGCATAAAGAACAGAATTCGGCTTTTCAACACCAATGTTAAGTAAGTTCATGCTTCTATATGAGTTGGAAACTCAGAGGGTGAGTCAAAAAAACATTTCGAAAAGGCTAGGGCAGAATTTTATCAAGAACTGCCTTCACCCCATACTGATGATCAGGTTCCCAGAAAGAGTCAGAAACAAGATACCCTTGGAAGCAACCAGTCAAGTACCTACTGCTCAATAAATATGGAGAAGAAAATTGAGATTGACTAGACACAGATTGAAGAGACCATCAGGCGATATCGCGTGCCAGGCCACGGCTTGAGTTGAATCCGAATAGTGAACGACGAGCTGGGCAGGTGTCCGAGTGTGACGATTTCGCAGTCAGCCAAGGAGGACTGCAGAGTACAGGACAAAGTGATGTCCTGTTGAAGCTACATGCTCCACTTTGTACCCAAGAGAATAATAATAATACAAAAATTAAAATAGTATTAGAGCTCATAACACTATTATGTCAGATTTCACTCAGAAATGAAACATTTTTGTGTACACCAAAGAATGAACAAACAGCAGCATTTTTTATTGCCGCACGATGAGTATGCAGGACGATTAAGTTCGTCGAATGAAGCTTTCCCCCCCCAAACAAACTACATTCTTGATACTAGTCGATTACATTGTCCGATGAGTATATTCAGAACGTATTTTGCAAACTTTGATAAAGCTTTGTGCGTCGGTGGCACAGCGGTAGAATGCTCGCCGACCACGCATTTGGTCCGGGGTCCGATCCCCGGCCAACGCATTCCTTTACCTCACTAAGCCAGTAATAAGACTGGTAAAGAGGGAAAGTTGGGCATGTGGCTAGCAACCCTATCGCGTAAAAATAAACACCACTGCTACCGGAACTTCAAGCCTCTAGCTTGAGGACCTATGTTCCACTGGGAACGTACAGGAATAAAACCAAATAAAAAACAAAAAACACAGCTTTGCAATTAATACGCTAATTAAGAAGCCCCATAATATTTCTCTTTAAGAGAAAGTGACATTTCTTAATAATAATGAAATCATTTAAAAACACGATAATATCGTGGATCAATCACGAAAGGTATTAAAAGAACGACTAGGGAAAATAAGTCACCGTAGCATCAGAGAAAATCGTGTATTTTTTCCATCTGTCACAGTGAATAAAGTTCAGAGTAGAACATTGGGATTCAAGCTTTTGAAATTCCAGTAGCAATGTTGTTTTTAAGGGAAAGGATTGCTGGCCTCACGCTTAATCTTCACTCTTTTATGTTGTCACTGATGGCTGGCTAGATAAGCTTAAGGAATGCGCCGATGGAGAGCTTTTCATCACTGAATCATTGATATTTGAGTTAATGAGCTGCAAGTAAAGAAAGTTTCCAACTTATGGTTGTAAGACTTTTCAAGAGGACCTTTACTTAGCAGACTGATTTTATATATTTATATATAAGGATAATTTAAAATACACATTACTGAGACGTTATGAAATGGTATTCGTTTCACTGACTGATTTTGATGTAGCGGGGTGATAAATCAAACCAAGAAATTATCAGTTTGCGATGGAATTCGAAAAAGAAGCCAGTGATCTGTTAAGAATGTAACGGTAAACAGACCTTCCCACTCAGCTTAAATTACCATCCCATTATGTAAATATTTAGTTTAAATAAAAATAAAAACGGCTATTATAAACTCACCATAAAAGTGGATTTGCTTTCACTAAAGGTCGTTCAATTGAACGTCTTAGATCAGGTGACAAATTCTGTGATTCAGCGGTTAATTCAGCTGTTCGGTCTACACTTTCAATACTGAGTGGATCCCTGTCAGCCGATTTTATTAAACCACTATAATTCATAACATTTGGTCCATCCAACTGTCTGTTATGATGCTGGGAACGAAAATGAGCTTTCCTCTTTTCAATTGTTGACTTGTCAATTTTATCCTCAAATATATTACTTCTTTTAGTGTTAACATCAGTAGTAGAAGTCGATGGAAATAAAACTTTTGCCACTGCAAAAAATTAACATCAGCAAGAAAGTATACAGTGAAAATTAGCAAGTAGAATATTCAGTGGTTTAAGTGTGATTATAAAGAGGCATATATATATATATATATCATCATCTCTGAGATTAACACTGTATTGCAAACTTACTCTTAATTCTCATATTACTATCATTCAAACAAACAGGCACCTACTACAAGCATACATCAGATAAGTTGTCCAGTTTTTCTGAAACTTTTAACCGAGCAACATGAGTGGTTCAATAGCAGAATTCTTGTCAGCCTTAAGGCAGGTTCAGGTTCGATTCGCAGCCAACGCATTCCTAAATTTCGCTCGGTTTACTATCCGGTGATAAGTCCAGAAAAAAGGGTGGTGGAATGTGAGTCTAGAAACTCCTCCTCGACACACCTATTGAAAATTTAAAGCTTATTGTTGTATGCTCTACTCGAAATGCAAAGGAAGGGAAAAAAGAAACTTCACTGAACAAAAGTTAATTAAGAGACCCTGGTGTTTGTTTAATGTTTGATCATTAACTTTGAGGAAATCCGGTCAGGTAAATATTTGTTCAGAAAGGTTTGAAAAAAAAATATTCACGTTTTCATTATTTATATGTTTCTTTCAGTTTTGAGTTGATTTGTAGATATATTAGTTCGCGACCGATTGGTTTAGGGAAGTAAAGGAAGAAGTCAATAAATCTCTGCAAGATAGTGAGTGTTTCTGTCCTTTCTGGCATTCGAAAGTAAGCTGCATCATCTACAAGGTGAAGGAAACAGCTGTCTTTTCAATCTGAGATTAAACCGGCATACAACACTTTCAAAAGCGAAATATTTTGGATATGCCTTTTTGACTAACTATAGCTAAGGAAGAATAAAAATATTAGATTGAAGGCCTAGTGCTGACTATATTCAGTCCGCAGTATGAACAGCATACTGTTAATATGGTCAGTGAAATTTGATTAAAGAAGACTAAGACTAGAACTAGGTAACAAAATATTCTTCAATTTCTGGTCAATGTTCATTTTATTTTCCAAACGAACTGTGAAATGCATCGACCTTATATAAGAATGGGTCTAGTGATACTTCATTTTTCGAAATTTCAGTGGGCAGGATAGCCTAGGAAAATCATGACCACTTATTTATATTTATCCATGTAATTTAAAATAAGGAGAGCCACACCAAACGTCGAAAACATCTCGTAGTTTACTAGTCCATTCCTAATCCCGAGAAAGGAGGTGCGGTTGGACGTAGAGCTAGCAACCCAATCCTGGAAAATCAACCTAATCGCTACGGGGAATTCAAAGCACAGGAAAAATATTTAAACCAAAACTATTCTATGGTGGAACCAGACAGACTGAATGATGCAGTCTGGTGTAAGAAGAAGCTGAGCTAAATGTACATTGTACTACATGTAGAAATGAAATACATTCTAAGGAAAGACAAAAGACAATTCTACAACATTGGAAACTCAAGCAGGATAGACAGAAGGCAACAGAGACCTCAGAACACTATATCAGATAACAAAGTCTCTATCCGGGAAGAGATGAACACAGACGAAGACAATGAAAGACGGCCAAGGAAACTTAATTACTAAACAGGAGAAGAAAAAACAGTACAGTGATCACTTCATAAGACTCTTGAACAGACGGCCACCTAAAACTAGTCAAGAAATATCAACAACAGCAGATACAGAACTACCGGCAGAAGTCTTCAATGTAATCAATCTACTAAAAGCCAACCGGTAAGGTAGCAGGATCGGATGGAATCCCCCCTGAAGCACAGAAAACGGACCCGAAGATCACAGAGGATATGCTGATGCCACCACTGCAAAAGGTTCGGAAGGAAGGGAAGCTACCTACTGACCGAAAGAAAAAACCATGTGGCCATACTAAGAAAAAGAGGGTGACTGACGCCTCTGTAAGAACTGACTCAGAATCATGCTCTTATCCACGCCAAGCAAAATGCTAGGTTGTGTCGTAGTGAAGAGAATAAAGGGTGCACTGGATGCAGAACTCCGCCGACCAGAAGAAGCTGTATTCAGGAAAGGGAAATCATTTTCTAATCAAATCGCAACTCTACGTATCGTCATGGAACAGAGCACAGAATGAAAGTCAAATTTCTACCTTAACTTCATTGACTTTGGAAAGGTTTTCGGCAGCGTTGACCTTTAAGTAATTTGGAAACCACTTCGACACTACGGCGTTCAGTGCTCCAAACCTTTGTCAACCCCATTCGACAGCTATATTAACATGCCAGATTTCAAGTAATCCATGACGAGAAACTCAGCTATGCCTTTGAATTGAAGACAGGAGTAAGATAAGGCCGGCTACTATCACGGATGATATTACCGATTGTGGTGGAATGAAGCATTCACAGGCCATGGGGAGCGAGGAGACAGGAATACTTTAGACCAATAAGAGAACTCTAAAAGATCTGGACTTTGCGGACGATTTATTTCTAACATCACTCAAACTTGAAAGCTTACAGGCTGACAGTAAAGACACGACTTCAAGTGAAAATAGAGAAGACAGAGATGATGAAGATAACCAATTAACAACAACAAGCATCATTCATTATCAGAGGGAGAAATTTAGAAGACGTCACTTCTTTCAATTATCCAGGCAGTATCGCTCCCAGTATATTGCGTATGGATGATAATATCAGGGGTATAATCGGAAAAGTAGGAAAAGTGTTCATTAATATGGAATCTGTACGAAAATCTACTGCTCTAAGAATGAGGAAGAAGATATGGATTTTCAACACTGATGTCAAGTCAGTACTTCTATATATCGTTCAGAGACTTAGCTTTTCACCGAAAACATTTCCAACAGGCTGCAGATTTCCGTCAACAAATATCTTCTCTCTCTGCAAGATGAGTGCAGGGCTTCAAAAGCTCACCTCCATTACATCCTATTTTCTGCAGTTGTCTTTAGTTGGATACACGATTGCCCATAAGCTCTCTACTTCTTCTCACACGATTTCCTTCGAAATAGCCAGTAGAGCGGTTGACTAGACTATCTGCAGTCTCTCTAGATATTGTATCCTCAGTGGTTATTTATTTCCATATCATAAAAGTGAGTTATTTTGCTCTGGAATACAATGGAGTAAATAGTTTTGATATAAAACTATCAGATCCTCTGGTCATAAGATGTTTTCCACTTTAGTGTGTTAAAAGACCCCTTATTTTTTTTAATTTATACATTATGAAGTTATCAACCAATTTAAGTCATATAAAATAATATTCTGTGGTACTAAATATAATTTTTTACGAGAAACAAATTCAGACGATTCATAGAATGTTAAGATAAACTTATAGTTGTAAAAGTCACGGATGAATTCGACTTCTTTCGACAGTCCAGTAATTCTAAGTTCAATTAAAATTTTTGAATGATCGTCTGATTTTGTTTTCGCTAACTGTGGTATTAAATCCTCACAAATTGTCTGCAATTAATACAAGTTGCCGTTGTCATAGTTTAAGAAACATTTTGTTGGCAAGTTTATGAAAATGGTGACTTAGCTGATGGCTGTGAAAACAGGCAAACATTCCAGGCCACACCTTAGATTTCAATCACCATCATATACTGATTATCTGTCGAGGTACTTGTATGTAACTTGACTGAAATGCTTTCGTGGAAAAAAAAACAATATGTTTAACATGTCTGCAGGATATTTAAGTGTGTTTTACTTCATTTCTGAAACATTTTAAAAGATGTTTATTCAAGACATAAAATGATGAGAATGCTTTTAGAGAGTATAACTTGCAGACTATCACTTAAAAGGACATGCAGTTGTTAGCAAACTGAAAAAGGGGATATCAGAATATTTTCTCACGACACGTCCAAATAAAGCATGAATATATGAAGTATACAAATACTCAGAAATGTATTCATGGTGAAAATGTTCATTAATTATCTGAGGGTTACAATACTTTCTAGCCGGAAGAAATAACATTATAAAGTAGAGGAGAGTTGGTTGAATGGAAGCCGACTAAAATTATTACAATATGATTATTATTGTTCCCTTGGGTTCCTAGTGGAACATACGGCTTCAACTGCACGTCTCCACTTGCTTCTGTCTTCTGCTACACTTTTCACTTGCATCCATGTTATTCCATACTGTTTCAACGCCTCTTCACACAATCTCCTCCATGTCACCCTTGGACGTCCCACTCGCCGCTTCCCTTTCGGGTTCCACTCGAGCTATGGCCTGACGCGCGATGCCACCCAGCGGCATCCGCAGCGAGTGTCCAATCCATCTCCACTTTCTCCTGCCTATTTGTTGAGCGATTAGTTCTTCTTTTGTTTGTTCCCATAGTGTCTTGTTGGTGATTCTTTCCGGCCATCTGATCTTCGGTATAGAACGAAGACAGCTGCTGATAAAGGTCTGCAACCTGTTGGAAATATTCTTTGTGACCCACCAAGTTTCTGATCCGTATAGTAGAACTCACTTGACGTTTGTATTGAAAATCCGCATTTTGTTGTTGATGTTGAGTGACGACGATTACAATGGAAGTCGTATTTAGCATTACATTTTGTCAATAAAAATATTCTTATCAACTTTTACTGAATATCATAAAAATAATAATACTGTCACTTACTCTGTTCCCCAGAAATTCTTTCGATAAATGATCTAGTTTCAGAAAATTCATTTGGTGAACGTAAACTTGAATTGTCCTCAGTTGCTTGTCTTTGTGTAATTTGTAAGCTTCTATTATGCTTTACATCACACGATGACGATGATGTTGATGGTGACGGTGATGTCAACATGACTGGTGTTTCAGTAGGCTGATCATTATGCGTCGTTTGTGAATTGATAGCGCTAACTGTCTGACCACGAAGGAATAAGCGTTTTCGTAATTTATGTGAGGTTACATTTGTCTCTTGTGCACCAGTCACAGTTGCAGTTGACACTAATGATGAATTTCTTGACTGGGACTCTAAATAACAATAAGATAAATAAATACTACTGATAAATATAAAATACTGTAAGTAGTATAAGTACAGTTTTATGCATTTTATTTTAATGATATGATGTTAAACTTTACTCGAGTACCGTCTCAGAATCGGATATTGTTTGGTGGATTATCACAGGTTGTCTGACACAGCTACGCACATCACATTATGAAGCTCTAGTCCAGATAGTACAGTTGACAAGTGATTAACACTGGTTTTTAGTTATTGTGCCATAATTTCAACTCTGAAAGAATACTTCACTTTGCGAAAATCTAACTTTATTAAATCACAAGCTTGAAAATTTTGGGTTATATCTTTGTTGCGATCATGGGTACGTGCCAGTGAGGAGTCCCGAACTAGAGCAACACAGCCGTCCAGCACTTTCTGGTTCTCCGAGTGAAGTTAGTTCGTGATCTGACTTGAAATCAATCATACCCCTGGAAACCAACATTTAAAAATAACTTCACCATGATTGCCTATTTCTTTGTTAGATTTCAGTCGCCATCCAGTTAAACTTTTCATGTGATATGATCACTGGAAACTTAAATATCTTAACAGTGAAACTGCTGACTGCACCACTGAGTAAAGCATAATCAAATCGCACTAGTAGCATAAGTGTCTGTGATATTGTAGATAAACTGTGAAGACGTATGCCAACAGATATGCAATCGGGTAATTGCTCATTGATTCCACGTGGCATCTATAAGCAATACAAGGTAAACTATACTGTACTGCAAAGTAGAATGAACAGCTGATACATTTATATAGTTTCTTCTCAATAATGAGCTAGACAGATGCTGTCATCTATCACACAATAGGAGCCACCGAAGTTACATTGAGTGAGGAATTGTAATTCTTCAGAAACACTGTAATTCACAATGGTTACCCAAACTCTTTCATCGATGAACATTTTAAGGAAAACACGGATGCTCCCTCAAAATTTTATATTCAATTAGACTAGAATTAGCGAAGTCCTATAAAATGGTCTGTGAGGACCAGTTAGTAGAACGTTCTATACTGCATCTCTGTGCCTTATCTCCACATCTGCTCTTGTTCACCAAAAATGACAAGGATTAGACTCTACTACTTGCAAATTCAATGTTTATTTCTCAGTTCACTTGCACCTGTAAATTGTGGCAGGACATCATCGCATAAATGTGCTCATGGACACCTGCCAATATGGTTCTCAACAGGAGAACCTTTAAGATTCAACAGTTCGATTTTAAAACACGTTATTACTTCTAGTTATTTAGTATTAGCGGGAACTTTATTCAGTATTATGTAGAGATGAACTTTGTCGAAAGACTTTTGCTTACATTTTCGATGCACAGCCAAAGGTCTTTCCATTCACAATAAAATGAGTCTGATTTTAAAGATATTTTATCCAGCTTCATTGGCTGCTATGACTTTGGCTTAAATTCTCCTTTTCGGATTAGTTGTCTACTTTTAATTATTCAAGCTTTTACTCCCTATCACTGATTACCAAATAACTATTTATTACTTAATCGGGCAATGCACTTCCACTACTTTTTCACACATTGTTATTTCTTGTACAGTTCGATGTATATTTCTTGCCAGCTGACAGTAACCTTTAACTCTTAATGGAGACTGACGTCATATAAATCAACTCCTAAATAACTGCACCTCCTCAATGACAAGTTACTACAAGAGACCTCATTTCTGCTGCATCTATTTCGTGTTGATTCAGTGAACAAAGATTCTTTGATTAACCTCTCTTTCCAACTAGATATATAACTGTTTAATGCATTTACTCTATCCCCGTTGCATGATTACATCTAAATGGAATGCATTGCAATGGCCAAGCTGTTTTCTAGAGTGGGATAGAGTAAAAGTATTAAAAAGTAATACTGTTTGTTGGGTGGGGATCAAAATGATACAACGCCTATGCTGGATTTGAGAAAAATTGCAATAGGCAACAAGGCGTGGGAAGCAAAAATGTCTAAAGGAAATTATAAAGTCACCTGAATATATTCGAATGATTTGAGCAGTAAATTCTGCTCGTAACCTCATCCAATAATTAGTACTGCATCAATCTAAGTTATGTCAAATACACATATATAATACGGAATTATATTCTACTATAGGGATAGAATTCTACTTTGACATTTAATGCAGCCATCAAATTTCCAATTGAACCATAAAGTGGAGAGACAATCTCATTTCTGGACGTCCAACTAAAAGAGAAGACTGATACAACTCTGAAGAGATCAATATATTGAAAGCCTACGTAGAACGGCCAGCTGGCAAACTTTTATATTTGGGTACCAATCAATCGTAAGAGGAGCCTGATAGTATCTCGTGTGACTAGAATCCGCATAATCTGCAGCCACGAATCAATAGGAGAAGAGATTACTTTTTTGAGGAAGACTCTCCTTGAGGATGGCTATCCACCACATTTCATAGATAATCACACTAAGCCAAAAATCAACAAAGAAAAACCCATCCCCGTGCTAAAGAAGATGTTATACATGAATTTGGAGTTCAACGACTACCTTCTGGTCGATATCCTATAGAGAAGAATATCTAACACCCTGAAAAGAACATTCTCTTTCGCTACATTACGATAGGTATCCTCAAGCCGCCGATTGTTCTTTAACAGCTCCGAAGATAAACTATCGCATTTGATCACTTCTATATGTACTTACCAATTTATCAACATGAAGCAAAATATCTATCTAGGTCGTTCGACGCGCGTTTTATACAAAAGAGTCAAAGAACATTATCCCGCGTGGCTGTGAAAAGGTAACAGTGGGTCAATAAGGAGTACTATAATTGAGCACATATATTCAACACTGGTTACTCAAAATGCACGGAGAATTCATTCAAAGTCATCTACAAAGTCAAAATAAGCCTCCCAAAGACAGTAAGCTTCCGTAAACTTTGCATTGTCGCGGCCTTAGCGATCTGGATAAAAAACCCTGATTTATGTAGGCAGAATATTTTTGAACTTTTTTGGACTTCTTATTAACATCTTTTTTTCTTAATCAACCTTTTATTTACTCCCTCTACCTATTACATAATTTATTTTGGACACTTGTCTCCATGCTCTTTCATCAATATCCTACTTTTCAGGGTGTCTTTCATATTATGCAACCCTTGTCATTACTTACCAATCTTCACCCCGTGGATACAATTTGGTTATTCATCACATTTTCGAAACATTTCGATGACGTAAACAGTAAGCCTTACTAATTTTTATTTTGTTTGACAATCATAGTGTACACACATACTCACACAAAATAATTATATTTAAATATGAGATTGTACAGCTAAGTAAATGAATTCGCCGAAAAGAGACTCCTTTGTTCTTTTATTCATTGATATTTTCCGTGAATTGATCTACAACTGACAGTTCGATGTACTGGATATATTATATCTTAATTCAACACCTACAGGTGATTCAGTTACTAGAGAAACGGCGAAAGTATTGTTTTGTTATTCTTTCTACTGTTCAATTACAGAAGGAGTTAAGCTCATCCATCTGATACACTTAACGATAGTATTGCACTGTCATTGTGTCAGTGGTTCAGCGGTAAAATGCTCGCTAACCACTTACATGGCCCGGAGTTCGATCCCCCACCGACCCATTCCTTCACTGCTTTACCTTACTAAGTCAGTAATAAGACTGGTAAAGAGGAAAGGTTGGGCTTAGAGCTGGCAATTTCACCCTATAAAAATAAAATCATTGCTACCGAAACTTCAAAGCTCTAGCTTGAAGCCCTACATTCCACTCGGAAAGTAAAGGAGTAAAATAATAATAATAATAAATTGTACTATCATACTATAAGCCTTCTTGGAGACTCCAGAGAACAGAGTGAAACCTCAATGTACTACTGGAAGCCTATGCTCAGTTCGAAATTCAAGGGAAGAATAATAAATCAACTGTGTAAATTCAACCAGATTCAGATCATTATTATTATTATTATTACTATGACTGAATAAATAATAGTGAAAATTACAAGAGTATGAAATTAGTACATGTCATATTTGTCGTTACTGCTTGTTTTTCTGTTGGCTTGTGTTCCTTTACAAATCTCTTCCTTCTCACTTCATATTCAACCATCCTTTTTCTTCTTCTACTCATTTTCTCGTATCCTTTTTAATTAAACAATTTTTTCCTTCTTGTTCTTCTGTTTTATTCTTTATTAATGCTGCAAAGGACATTCGTTCTCTTTGTCTTCCTTTCCTTTTGTAGCTAGCACTTTCCTACCCTCTTCACTTTACTTCTTATTGAAGCTTTAACCTGAATAAAACCTTAGAATTTTTATTTATTTATTTATTATTCAATTCAATGTTATCCATTTAGATGAGATGATATGAGGGGTATGTGGAAATCTGATAAGGTGAAATATTTTAATTATTTAGGTTAATGCTGTCTTCACTTTGTCAAATTTGTACTTTTAAATGTCATTTTACTGCTTTTACTTTATTATTATTATTACTTATTTATTTGTTTTCGTGCCTCGTTATTCATACAAAGCTACTGAACTATGACATGATATAAGCCCTGAAAATCCAGCATACATTACAGTCTTATTAATAATAATGATGATAATTTCTCAGATTGGTTTTTTGTCGACTGTTTACTTGCTAAGCAATGAAACTCCACAATTTGTAATAAATCTCAATGTGGTTTGGTAAAGAACAGATAATAAATCGTCTGGAGCTCTGTTTTGTAGCAATTAACTGAAATTGGCCAGCCAGTGGGGAAAATGAAAGCATTCAAGGTGATTCATTGCATCTTATGGAATATGTTCAGTTATCTACGTATTCGTCTACTGAATACGGTTAAGGTAATCAAAATTTGAAATATTAGACTTAAACTATGCATTCAGAAGTCGTTCTTACAGCAATTATCCTCTCTTAGCCAGTTAAGATATCACTAACTGATTATACCGTTGCCAAGATTATATGCTTTCAATCCCTTTCTGATTAACTTTTCCTTAGTCTTATCGCATTTGCA